CACCACTGTTGTGTCATAAAAAAATTCTAATGAGGATAATGATAATAAAACAATTAATAATAATTATTAACATTAGCCCGCGACTTTGTTCCAGTTTTGAATTTTGGCCCACTGTGTATTTGAGTTTGACACCCCTGCAATAACACAATAATCAAATGAACTAATGGTGAAAGCTGTCACAATGTGCAGCCCTGACTTCGATTAGCTTAAAATGCCAGAATCTCTTTTTTCCCCCCTTTTTTTAAAAGGGAAAAGTTAAATTTTTTACAGTCCCTATTCTTACAGTTTGCATGACTTCCTGAACGAATCCAATAGTGTGTTTAAACGAAATGCTTGGTATGTACAACTTGCACTGTCTGGGTAAACAGATTAACAGATAGCTGTATGTTTCTTGTTTAGCTTGGTGACCCCCGCTTTAACCATATGTACCTGCATGAACTTGAAAGTGGAGACAATGTATGTGCAGTCTTTGTTCATGTTAAAACTGTTTGTTTCTCCAGGAAAACTTCAAACTTCGAGCTCTACTCAGGGAATCGAAAGATCAAACGGTGATGATCTCACTTTTCAGTGTAAAATCCCCCCGAGAACCAACTTGAAGTGCCCCTCTCTGGTTCTGAAACGAGTCGATGGAAATACAAGTTACCCCACAAGTGTCATCTACACCTGTCGAAATGGAAAGGAAGATCTTGATTCACAGCCGGAACAATACAGAAACCGGGTGAAGTTCATCAATGAGGACATGAGGAGAGGAATGATCACTGTACGGATCCAATCAGTCCAGCAGTCTGATAGCGGAAAGTACAAATGGTTTATCCCAAATTCAAAATACGCCTGTTCTTTTGATGTTGTTGGTAAGTTGGTTCATGAGCTTGTTCATTATTTGATATCACTGGTATTACTTAATAAATGTTGGAATTGTATATGGTTAGGTAAGTAAGAAACAGAATTAAAACAACTTGATGGTTTTTACCTCATTTGAAACAGTGACAGAGAAGCAAAACCTTACTAAGGAGAATGACACCAGCACAACAGCAACAGAGGAAATGCCAGATACAGGTAAGACTGGCACAATGAGGTCATCGGTTTGTTTTTAAGTTTGTTTGAAAAAAACAGAAAATCAAGACGTATACCTTACAAACACTTTGCTTTTCCCTTTAGATCCTGCACCAGAGATCCGTCATCATTATTATGCCCTCATTCCCGTCTTTGCTCTTCTCATAGCTCCTGTTTTCCTGATGCTCTTCAAGAACAGTGAGTTAAACAGCATTACATTTTTAATTTAGCCATCACCGACTTTTGCATTCAGGCTTTTGAATTGGTACGCTCAGTCAAGTTGATTCATAGATCTGGTTTCTCAGCTGAAGTCCATTGATCAAATGAGGACCACAGGAGGATTCATTATTTGTTTTTCAGCACAGGCTGAGCTCCGTTATGGTGCAAGGCTATTTTAAACAACCAGCACTCGTTTGTTTCCGCTAATAAATGCACCCCTAACAAACAGCTACTGAACGACAAGTCACAAAAAGTGATGTAAAGGTGTGGAATGATATTTACGTCATAACAAATGCACAAGCGCATTTAAATTCCACGCATGTAAATTCATGTAAACCGTGCAGACAGTCTGCATTGCACACACTGCTATAGTTTCACACTCAGCCAGTAGCTCCCTGCACTCAGAGGCAAATCCTGCTCAAACGAATAAATGTACTTTTACCGTCTGGAGGCGGAGACCAATGTAGCACACAGTGCTAATGTGATTGGTCATTTTGATGCACACTTCAGGTTACTGTGTTAAACTGAGGTACGCTGTGGCAGCGACAGAAACGCTGTTTTAAACCATACTTGTTAACATTTTGAAAACATAGCAGTGGCAAAACTGTCACTGTATTACTTTAATGCTGAAGAAAGCAGAGGATTCGAAAGTATGTTCTCTTGTACAGTATTACATAGCTTAAAACTTATAACGAGGACCAGGAAAGAAAGTGTGCATCAGAATGTGGCAACTATAAGTTTGGCCAAAATAACGATGTTTAAACCAATCAACATAAAGTTGCTCAGTCTGCAGGAAACACATGTAACTGCACGTTTCAAAGCGTGCCCTTGAAGTCTTTAATAAGTCTTTAAGATGAGTTTCAGCATTAAAGTGAAGCCCGTCATAAATCAGTACAACAGAAGTAACTGCTGTAGCTAAACTAGCAAACTGCGCTTTCAAAACATCAACACATCCTCACAACTGATATGTAGCACAGATCAACTCTTTGCTTTATTCATAAAATATAACTATAAAAATGCAAATACTTCTCTAATCATATGTCGCAGAATTAGATTCATATAAAATATACATCAACTAATTAATTGTGGTGTGATTTTTAGCTTCAGTGAATTAGTCCCATCAGTGGTGTACACTTTAATGACTGAACACTTATATGGAGTTTGAAGTATATTTTAATGCAGAATATTTGTACTTTTACTTCAGTAAAAATGTATTTTTACAGACTACACATGTACTGTAGTATTACTTTTTCATATAAGTATAGGATTTAGGATGGGTACTTCTTCCACAGCTGTAAACAGCAGATAACACCTGGCATGCAGCAGCTACAAGCATAGTGTGTTATAGTTATATGACCTTTTAGATTTATACAGCATGATGGCAACAACCTGAACTGTTCATCAGACACTATCTCAGCCCAATGAGCTACTTACCAAAGACAGTGTGTCACATCCTGCTCTGCTGTCCACCCCACAGACTGTCTGTGGTCACGGTGTGTGGAGCTCTGGAGCCAGATGGCAACAACATAAACACATTTTATAAAATTACGTTTACTCGACTTTTTCCTGTTGTGTGCTTCTCATTGTGATTTTTAAAAGCTGTGTAATACTGTACAACAGATTAATGGGGCAGCAGTGCAGAGGCTTCAGAACTAACCTTAGAATTAAATTAACATTAAATAGTCCAGTGACAGTTGTCAGTGTTTCCACTGATGTACAACAAACCGTAACTGCTGATGATTAATTCAGCAACCTTTATTTTTCAACTTCTAAACAAATGCAGTTTAAAACAGCTTTTCTGTCCCTGTCACAGTGTAACTCAGTTTAGCGCAGTAACCTCAAGTGTCGATCAAAGTGACCAATCACATTAGGACCCCGTCTACCTTTGTCTGCCTCCAGACAGCAAAAGTAAGTTTAAAAGCATAAGCAGGATTTCTCTCCGAGCGCAGGAAGCTCTCTGCGCTGTGAAACTGTAGCAGCACATTCAAACCAGGCGCTCTTGCGTGTGCGATGGCTTCTTTGTGAGTTCTGCGCATGATGAGATAAATATCGTTCACATTAAGGTTGTACCCCCTCACTGATACCATTTCTAATTTCCATCTCTTATAAAATTATAGTATGCTAAATTGTGCTCATTTTCTGAGTGCTCATAGTTTACTTTCATTTTGTTTAAAATTAATTCATTAGATTTTTTTAATCTCTTTGAAGTTCCAAATTTCGCACTGTACCTTTAATCAAACACTATTGCTATCCATAATAAGCATATACTGTTAAACATTAGACGACATGGATATAAAACAGATGGGAGCTAGTGTTTTCTAAGCTCAACACATAAATGGCACTCTGGCCATCAGCCAGGCTTTCTGAAAATCCACCCATGTGAAGTGTTGTTGGTCTCCAGGTGGGTGCGTCTGGTTAACTTTCCAGATGGTTCGGCTGGTTATGTTGCAGCTTCCGTTTAAAGTGACTCTACAAAGTCTTGAATCACTCATATTTATTTGTACGTTAGTTCCAATGAGACAGACGCTCTTGCCTTCTTACTTATGTGTTTAGTTAATTTTATTATCGTTTTTTTAATTTATTTTTTTGTGGTCTTGAGCACCAGTTCTTTTCTTTACTTGTCTGATCATCGGCTGCTTTTTCACTCATTTTTCAGGCCTGTCCCTATACCTGACCATCTTCAGATAAACTGTTTGTTTGTTTTTTGGTTAAATATAATATACCACGTTCTGACTGAGAGATTTCTGAAAAATTCAAACGTGCACCTCTGCTGTCACTTCCCACACAAATAAAGATAAAAAGCTAAACAGCAGTGTGACGTTTGTAGGGTTACTGAAGTTGAGCTAGCTGGTATGTAATGATGTGCTTGGTGGTGCCAGCTACACAGCTATGGTTAGTATAATATAAACATTAGCACAGTAAAGCTGAAGGATGAACACTAACTTTTCCAATCGATTAGATACAACTTTATTAATCCCTCGGGTTGGTTCCTCCAGGAAATTCGGTTTCCAATAGCACAGCACCGACAGAAGTTACAGAATGTGAGCAGAAATATACCATATATATAAATATACACAAGGGATAAATAGAATAAATAGGAATGCAAGGGATTTGCACATTTCAAGTACTGTGAGTCTATTGCTCCGTTGGATATTAAGTATTGCACAGTGAAGAGGCACTACAGCTTAGTTGTTCCCTCCTCCTCTGTCCTCCTGTCTCCCCTCCCTCTCCCCTCCAGAGAGGAGTTAAACAGTTTGGCGTGTGGAACAAGGAGTTTTTAAGTCTGTTGGTCTTTGGGAGAAGCAACCTGTCACTGAACAGACTCTTCTGGTTGTTAATGGCCGTGTGCAGAGGATGCTGTGGCATTGTCCATCATGTCCAGCAGTTTCTTTAGTGTCCTTTTCTCTGCCACTGTCACCAGAGTGTCCAGCTTCATGCCGACCACAGAGCTAGCCCTCCTGATCAGTTTCTCCAGCCTGGATGAGTCCTTCTTTGCTGTGCTGCTCCCCCAGCACACCACAGCATAGAAAAGTACTCCTGCAACCACCGAACATTAGCATTCACATTGTAGGAACCTGTAAACTAGGGGTGGGGAACTGCAGGCCTCAAGGGCCGGTGCCCTGCAGGTTTAAGATATCACCCTGGGTCAACACCTGAATCAAATGATTAGTTGATTCCCAGGCCTCCAGAGAACTTGAAGATATGTTGAGGAGGCAATTTAGCCGTTTGAATGAGCTGTGCTGGATCAAGGATGCATCTAAAACCTGCAGGACACTGGCTCTCGAGGCCTGGAGTTTCTCCCAGTGACCTTGACTTGACCTTGAAGTCAGAGGTCAAGTTTTCTGCACGTACAGTTTGGATGTTTTAGAATCACATGTTTTAGAATCACATGTTAATGCTTGTAGAACAATGAAATTATTTGCTGCCGACTGAAATGGTGAAGCTATTTTTTACCTGGATAAGACGAAACCTTGCTTTTTAATTCAGCCCTCGGTTTAGTGCTTTTGGATAGTACAGCATCATTTCAGTTTCTAACTGGTTTTCTTGTTCTCACAGGGATTTGGAAGACTGAAGAGAAAGACTCTGAGCTGGAAACCCAAGGTAACAAAGCAAAGGAAGGAGATGAAGAGGAACAGCTCAAGAAACCATCAGCAGGAGGAACTGACGGACTGAAAGGATAATCTCATCATCACGGCCAGAGAAAAGAAGCTTTTTTGAATATCCACCATTTGGGCCATTCATCTGATCCTTCTGTCAGTTGCTCAGGTGCAACTAAATATTTCCTGGAAACGTAGAAAAAAGTAAGATTGTTTTATGAATTATTTGGAAAATCAAATTACTTAAGAGTAGGGCTGCCACGATCAGTCGACTAGTCACGATTACGTCGACTATCAAAATCATCGACGGCTGATTTAATAGTCGACACGTCGTTTGATGCTTTGTAAGATCCCAAAATACGCAGGAATAAGTAGCAGGATTTAAGAGTGTAATAACGGACTGAAACAGAAGATGGCAGCACTGCATGTACAAGGATGCCAGCTGCCGTTAAACCCCGAAGAAGAAGAAGCTGTTTCCAAATTCAGGAACTGCATCCTCCTGTGCCCGCATTTGTAGGCCGATTACGTTACAGCCACATGACGAAGACTGTCCAAACTCAAACACTCCGACAAATGCGGCCCAGAAATGCGTCCTTCATTTCCCCAGATTTGAAGGATGGGTCGTGGCCCAACCTATCCCAGAATTCATAGCGCGGCCCAGCTCAGTTTCCAACAATGGTGGCAGGTAGTTAGTTTTAATGTTACTCTTATTATTCTTTCTGGGTCACAAAATAAACGTTTAACATATTTTCAGGTGAGAATGTAGCTGTGTAAACCTCAAATATCTGCTCAGTTTATCAGGACACCACATATTTTCAAAAGCGCTCCGACCAGCTCGATAGCTAGCCAGGGTTCAAGGTCACTAGAGCCGTGAGAACACCGGACTCCCGGCAGATCGTTTTCAAACCCACCGCCGTCTTTCGCTACTCAGGTTAAACATACATAAGTCACTTAGAGAACTTAAAAATGTTGTTGTTTGGCTTTTTTCTGTATTTTATTTGTTCCTGAGTAAATCTGTTTGGCTGAGATTAAAGTTATAGTTTTTACACAGCTGAATAAACGTCAAGCAGACAGCTGATTATCAGAAGTGTGAGATGCTGGAGAATATACTCCAGTGTCCTGTTATATTTTAGATAGCAAGGAGCAGACGGCTGAGTTTATTAAACTTCACCAAAACAATCTGCAAACTTCATTAACATTTAATAAACTATCATCTTTAAAGCTTAAACACTTAAAGCTGTAAGCTAATGATAGTTATAGCATTAGCTGGTGCAATAAGCTGGATGATGATCTGATTAGTCGACTAATCGCAAAGATAATCGGTGACTAGTCGACTATCAGAATAATCATTTGTGGCAGCCCTACTTAATAGCCATTTGTAGCAGGGATTTAAAAGCCTTCTAAGCCCATGAAAGTGTTCACGATCCCATTAACTATTTTAAAATCCTGGTGGAAGTGCAACCAAATAAGCTAGAGCAATAATTTTTTGCATATTAAAACAGAGGAGTTGTACTTCCAGATCAGTATTTAACTTGTCCCAGGTTGCAGTTTCCTTCCACTAATGGCTTTGCAAAAAGTGCAAGAAACAACAAAAAATTTATTATTATCCAGACAAATTTTGCTGATCTGATCAGCTGTTCACAGCACTTCCTGCGTTTGAATAAACTTTATCATGTTGTCAGCAGGAACTATCACCTCATTTTGTGGGAAATGTAGTTTTTTGTTTTGTTTTGTTTTTCAGAAAGTTCACTCAGCCTATTGAAAGTCATCTTTGACTTTCTGTATAGTTTCTGTGACACAGTTGGAAATAGTTTATTTTTGAGGCACATGCTGTTGCAGATTGTGCACAAGATCGATTTTTGTTTTTGCAGCAGTTTATAAAAATTAGTGTTTGTTAGAAATGAAATTCTGAGGATACAAAATAAATTTCCTGTGGTTCGGAACTATTTTGCAACAGTTTTCACCTCTGAAATCTCTTTTATTAGAAAAATGTGTTAAAAAATATAATTTTTAATTTATTTGTAGTTTTTTGCACCTTTTTAGCAATTTATGTCGTTACTATGGACTTAATGCATACATATTATTAAAATTTGCGATACAGTGATTGTAATGTATGTATTGTATGTTTAGCAACTTGAAATCCTCCAAAAACTGACACTATAGCATCAAAAATGTAAAGACTTGTTCTATGATGGGCTTACAAGGTTAAGCAAAACTTACCTTTCACTAATTTTGTCATTCTAGCTAGCAAACAATCCCCAAGTGGCTAATTTTGCAGTTGCATTTGAAACCCCTGTCACGTGTTTGCACATTAAACGATTTTATCTTACCATAATTTATTTATATAGCACTTTAAAAACAACACACGGCCGACCAAAGGCGAGTAAATAAAAATGAGTTTTTAATCTGGATTTAAAAACCAGCACTGATGTAGAGTTCCTGATGTGAAGAGGAAGATTGTTCCAAAGCTTTGGGGCCACAATAGAGAACGCTCCGTCTCCTCCAACTTTCATCCATCATTTAGGGACTCTGAGCAACACCTGCTCAGCTGACCGGAGTGAATGAGGGGCAGCATATAAATTCAGGTACCAGACCATTTAAGGATTTAAAAACCAGTAAAAGGAGTTTAAAATTGATCCTAAATTTAATTGGAAGCCAGTGTAAGGAGGCCAGAACCGGAGTAATATGCTTAAATTGTCTTTTACCAGTTACAAACCGTTTCACAACATTCTGCACCAGTTCCAGACGTGACCGAGTGCTCTGGCCAAACCCTGTTACTCCAAGCATGAGGTTATGATCGTCTCAAAGAGTATACGTATACACTTATACTGACACTCATTAAGCTTTCACAAGCTCTGAATCACGAGGCTCCTGCCTACATCTCTGATCTTTTACAGCCGCACGCTCCCTCTCGCAGCCTGAGATCCTCTAATCAAAAGCTGTTGGTCGTTTTAAGACCAGAGGAGATGTTTTAGAGCGGTGGCCCCCAGGTTGTGGAGTGCTTTGCCTCCATCTTTACATTGCCTTGATTGCATTCATTCTTTTAAACAGCAGCTTAAGACTCTTTCATTTAGATTGGCTTTTAACTAGAGTTGTGCAGTTTGTTCGATTGTGCTGTTTTATGTATCTGTTTTATATTATTGTGAAGCACTTTGTGGTTCTTATTCTGTTAAGAGTGCTATATAAATAAAGTATCTACAATTAATTGTGTTGAATGTTTGCTCCGTTGTGTTGAAATGTTATTTTGCTACAATTGTGCTACATTTGCTTTCTAAATAGTTTCTTTCTTTCTAAATTTATTACATTTTTAAGGAGAAAAACGTAAGTGTGTGTGTGTGTGTGTGTGTGTGTGTGTGTGTGTGTGTGTGTGTGTGTGTTTTTTAAGTATTATGTGAGACCATCCCAGTTTGACCTACCTTACCTTAATTTCAAGTCAGTCTGACTGGATTTCAAAGTAAAAGCCCTTGGAAATGTCTTTGGTGCTCCAAAATCTCATCAGGTTTGTTTAATTTTTTTCTTTCTTTCTTAACTCTGAATGACGACATAGGGAAACATGGAGGCACTATCAACTTCAGCTTCATAGTATCTCACCCTACAGTTACTCGGCCACTCTAAATTAACTCTTGCATTGTGAAATATAAAATCAGCCTTTCGAAATGCACAGTGGGAGAAGTGATCTACTTCTGAATAAGAACAAGACCAGAGAAAGTGAGTTCAGTTTGAGGATGATGCCTATAAGACGGTCCATCCTGGGACAGCATGTTGAGCTGGTGGAGCATAGGATGTGCACACTGACAATTAGCTGAAGCAGAAGACCAACAAAGAGCCTCTACACACAAAAGGGGCTGAGCAGCCTCTATTTTGTGGAAAAAGTGGAGACCCTGTAACGTGCAGCAAAATTATAGAGATGTTCTTTCCCTCAGTTCAAATGAGTACGGTGCTGAGGTCTGCTGGTGACACCAGAAACGATGAATAATCCAACCAGGACGGCTCCTCTGTGGAGGATTTTGAAGCTGGATTGGTGAGAACACACTGATAATGCTTTTTTTTTCTTCTCAACTTTACTACTAGAAGAATATAATCTATCATATGAGTAATCATTCTAGCTGAGATTTGTACCTTTAGCCAAAAGCTTTTGAGTAGGATTTCCGGATGGTAAGTCTGCTATGAGCCGTCCAGCCCAGTGTACTACTTTTCCAGAATCGCTCTGACACAGGATATTGCGAGTTTTAAGAGTGCTGTGTTTCTAGAGATTTGTTGGATGCTGAAGAACTCTGATAGAAAAATGCCCACAACATTCCAGACAGTGATATTAGGGGCCAACGTAATGCTGTCCAGAGGACGTATCCAGTCAGACACCCTGTTTCTGACGTCTTATTCCAGGAACTTCATTTAGTTTCAATTTAGAATTATTGTGGACTTCAGGAAGCACACAGCCCCACTCCCCCCCATCATCCTGACTGACACCCCCATCACCTCTGTGGACTCATTCCGCTTCCTGGGTACCACCATCACCCAGGACCTGAAGTGGGAGCCCACCATCACCTCCGTCATTAAGAAAGCCCAGCAGAGGATGTACTTCCTGAGGCAGCTGAAGAAATTCAACCTGCCAACACGGACGATGATGCAGTTCTACACCGCAATCATCGAGTCCATCCTCACCTCCTCCATCACCGTGTGGTACGCTGGAGCCACTATCAGGGACAAACAGAGACTGCAGCGTGTTGTGCGCTCTGCTGAGAAGGTGATTGGCTGCAGACTCCCATCTCTGCAGGACCTGTACACCTCCAGGACACTGCGGCGTGCAGCTCGGATCTCAGCTGACCCTTCTCACCCTGGACACAGTCTGTTTGACCTGCTCCCCTCAGGCAGGAGGCTCCGGTCCATTCGCACCAGAACCTCTCGCCATAAGAACAGTTTCTTCCCCTCTGCTGTCGGACACATGAACAATAACCGTATGACTGTTCCCGCCACTAACACATGACCCTACGCTGTGTCACTGCATCATTCCATGTTTGGCACTGATCACCACCTGCACTCATGTATATATCATGTATATATCTATCCACTTAGCACTTTTAATTCTTATTCTTATTTTTATTTCATGTCTATTTAAGCGTAATTTATGACAGTATGTTTGCACTGAAGCACCGCAGCAATTTCCAAATGTTGTAAACCTGCTCAACATTTGGCAATAAACCCCTTCTGATTCTGATTCTGAGAAGCAGACTGTATGTTATAGTGACTCTTGCAGTTTAACTGAACTTTGTTGGACTGCTGCCTAATAGTAAGAAGGTTATTGGATGCCCTGACCCGCTATCACTATTTAGAAACATATCAGAGTTGATATTGACAGAGTGCCACTGTGAGGGTGTATACTGTACCTAGACCATGGAAATATGAAGTATCCTTTTATACCATTAGGAAAATTATTTGAATCGTGGTTCTTATGCTTGGCAATACTTGATATACACACACGACGTAAAACCATGTGGGAGTTTGCACAGTGAGTCAAAGTTGGAAGAAAACCGTGTGCGATCAGCGTCTAAATGCGGCAGTGCAACTGTACATTTTGGCTGCTTTATCCTGAGGTTTGTAGCTGATATAAAAAGGAGAATTTTAGAGCATTTAAAACAATTTCTTTTGAGCAGTGCAATCAGGGAATTTCTGATGATTCAT